TAACATACTGTATAGGTGCAGTGTCTGTCCGATTGTTCGCCCCTCCTGGACGTAATATCAATAATATGCTGACATACAGTGACTAAATATAGAAATATAAAATGTTAACGATGTTAAACATACTTAACGTTTACAAGTCAATAACGATTCAAATCCCAATCCTGGGTGCACCAATAAGGAGGTCTTCGCTCACGGACTGATTTTCGGGGAGGCACGACTGAAGACGAATGCTTGCAGGCCACAACAGCTTCAGTGGTTGTGGGGGTGGGTGGAGCAGATATGCCGCTAATGGCATCGGCTACTGGAGGGGAAGGTGGTACGATGATTGGTGGAGTAACACTTCTAGTATGTTCTTCGGCCTCTGTACTGGTATTATACTCGTTGTCGGAATCGGACTCTAGTCGCTCATCCTGCCCACGGACAGGTCCTTGAGAGGGTTGAGCTACAACTGAGGGCTTCAACGGATAACAATCGGCCATAGGTACGAGGTAGACTTTGCTTCGAAACTGTGAGCTTGTGAATTTCCGTAGGTGGCACATCTTGCTTGGGTCGATGTCAATAACGAGGTACTTTTCGCGAGCTTTTAGCTTGTCCTTGTCACGTGTCAAGTAAACCAGGTCTCCAACAGAGATAGTAGGAGTGGGATAACCTAGTATACCAGTAGCTTTCGATTTAGCACTGGGTAGGTGGTTCTGCTTACGAGATACGTTTTGATTGAGAATAAGGTCGCGGTCGATGAAGGGTAGCTGCTCACCAGTTAACTGATCTCTTTGGGTCCAGACTTCATGGGCAGAAAGGCCATCGCGTCGGATTCGGGAATTCAAGTTGGCAACAGCGAGAGCTAACACGACCTTTGAGACTGGGCCTCCTTCAGGATTTAGGTTAAGGAGCTCTGCACCAAGCTCGCCAATTGCGTGTTCAGCGACGGGATTCTTATTAAGGTTCTTAGGTCTGCCCACCTCCAAATGAATGCCAGACGAGATAAGGAACTTGTCATTTGCGAGGGCAGAGAATCCTGGGGCGGGATCCACGCGTACTGTCACACCACCAGCATGCAGAGATCGGAGCTCGGAGCATAGGATCAAGAGGGCATCACGTAGAATCTCATGCTTTTCGCTCTCAATGAGAGAAGCGATAGTGTATGAGGACACGGTCTCTCGCATAACAAGTATGTACGGGCAGTTACGGCGTATCACGTCTGCGGCGAACGAGATACCAATGGCTGAAGGGGCGTCTGAAGTAGACTGGGGCTGTAGATGCTTAGGAATTGTCTTCACTGACTGGCAGAGATGACAAGATGACAAGACCGCCTCAATTGCCTTATCAACATCCAGGGCAAAGAAGTACCGGTTGAACAGACGTTTGAGTTGGTATTTAGACGGATGGGTTAATCTGATATGAAGTGCCGTCAGCAGGCCATCAAGTGCGGAGCGGGGCACGACTATGCGCTCGCGGCTGGGCTGGAATGGTTGAGTGTCTTTCACGATAAGGAGGCCGTCGGACGCAATGATGACATCCTTGAGGTAACGCTTGACATCAATGATCTTGGTGATTTTCTTGGAGGGGCGGGTGCCTTGATGAAGGTGGGAGTGAGTTCGCCGGAGATCAGGACACTCCTGCTGTGTAGCTTGCCAGGCTGCTCTACTATTGAAGGGCATTCGAATGGAACCTTCCATGACGTCACTCACAGAGATTTCACGGACGACAGAATCCTCCATTTCTATGATGAATTTGCAAATCTGACAACTAGAATCTAAACATTGTCGAGGGTTTCTGCTGGCAAAATCGGATGGAAGATTCTCTGCTCCAGCGATGTGGCGCACATGGACTCGATAACGACTAACAGTTGACAGGAAGGTAGTGACTCGTGAACTGGCTGAGAACTCGCCACGCTTGAGCTTGTCGTATGCTTGAACACAAGGTCGACTGTCCGTGAGAACCTGGGTAGTGTGGACAGATTGTATGATGTAAGGGGCAAAGTGCTTTATGGCAGCACTGATGCCCAAAGCTTCTATCTCACAAGGAAGCCAAGTCACCTGATGTTTACGCAACTTGGCGTTGAAGAAACCAGCTAATAGGAGCTTTCCGTCGCGTTCAATATAGAGGGTGGCTGCTATGCCCCTGTTCTTTACGGAACCGTCTGTAACAATCCAGAGCGCATCATCAGACTGAGGAAGTGAGATAGTTTTGTGATTCTCTAGGGCTTGTTGTGCAGTCTTGAATGCTAGCGGTAACTCGTCAGACCAACGGATTCGCTCCCGAGACTCCTTGCCGGCGGTAGCCTGATCGAGAGGGTCGAGCAGCTCGGCATACTTTGGGAGTACTCGGCTGAGTACCTTGTATGAGCCAATAAAGGATCGTAAGCCTCGTACTGTAGAGGGCGGAGCAACAGAGGATAAGGCAGCAAGCTTGTGTGGACTAGCCTGCAAGGTGCCTTTGGACCAGGTCCAGCCTAACACAACAGCTTTCTGTGGGCAGATGATGGTTTGGAGGCTGATAGGCGAAGGTTGTCCTTCTTCAGTAGGGAGAGCACGTTCAGTAGGGAGAGTACCTCACTAGGGGTATTTCCACCAATATACAGGTCGTCGGCGATTTTAGCAACACAGCCCTCCTGAATGAGGTCACCTAAGACCCTGGACATTAACTCCTCCAAACAGGTCTCGGAGCCAGGCATACCCATGGCAGATCGGGTGTAGACACGGATACCTTTATATGGAGTGGCGACTCCACAGTACTTAATGGACGAAGCAGCCAAGGGAATTTGATAAAAAGACTTTAACAAGTCAGTGATAATGACGTATTGCCATTGTCCTATGGCGCGTAAAACACTGTCAACATTCGGCATGAGTGAGGGCTGTGGTTTACTGTACTGGGCAACCGCACCGAAGGATGTTACGAGACGACTTCCACCATTTGGCTTCTTTACAAGGAAAGAAGTGTTCAGGTATTCAACATGAACGTTAACCTGTTCAGGTTTGGCAAAGACTCCAGAGGCTTCAAGCTCGTCGAACTTAGCTTGTAACGCCTCCATAGTTCTTCGGTTGTACTGTGGTAGGCGACCTTTCCGTTGAGGAGGAAGGGTTGGGCCCATATTGACGACGGCTTCAATCTTGCCACTAGCACCATTGTACTTGGAGATGGTGGGGTTGAACACATCGTCATACTCGAGATGAAGATCTCTGAACTGGTCACGGATGTGGGGTGGAAGAGAGGAATCTGGATCAAGAACGACTGTGCTAGAAAACGGCTTGCTGTGGACAGGAGGGCAAATCACAGGACGACAGGTACTGGAAGGCGAGGCACATGGGTCGGTGGGGAAGGGAGGTATGATATGCCGAACTTGGCATAACTGTTCACCCTTCTTTATGAGAATCGGAGAAGAGGTTGTGTTGGGAATACGCAAGGTATGATCTACGGAAACAATGGCCTGTGGCTGAGGCCATGCGGCTTCCAGCTTCTGAGAAAGGTTAGAGGGGCTATCGAGTCTAGGTTCCAAGGCCCACAAAGCATCGGGATCAGACTCCAGAGGTGTAGTGAGCTGGAGATAGTCACCGGGTAAGACAACCATGTGCTGTGGGCTGCGGAGAAGGAAGGACTGCGTGCGTCTAGCAGCGGAATGGGGGATCGACTTCGCTGGTGGGCCGTAATGCACAACATCTGTACCACCAATTAAAATTTCGCGCTTTGCAGGGCGAATAGCAATGTCATTTTTGGACAAGAAAGGATTGCCAGCCAAAATGTCAACATCAAGTTGGCGAACAACTAGGGCATCGAGTTCAAATGTGGACGAACCTCGGATGAGTGAGCAATGGACTTCACCAACCACATCCATTGGGGTAACACCATCAGCCTGGCGAGCCATCTGAGAAGCAGGGGATACAGGAAATCCGTAAGCTGTGGCTGATGAGGCTCGAACCATGTTGGACGTTGCACCAGTGTCTAAGGTCAACTGGATGGGGTGCTGATTGTAAAAGGTGCGGAGGACAGGGGACTAACGATACTCACACGATGGGCAGTAGAGTCATCGACCAGCACAGCGTTAGCAACACCCTCGTCACTAAGGTCAACGGTATCGCAGTCTTCAGGGTGCAGATCATCATAGTCGTCCTTCAAAAGTCGTGAACGAGTCCATGGTCGCCTGTCTCGCTCTGGTAAATAGCGACAATCCATGAGGTCATGGCTTGTATGCGGGCGGCCAGCGGTCTTGCATAGAATACATGACCGGAATGCTTTACGTCGTGGGTTGTCTGAGGCACTGGTAGGATTTCGTCGTGGGTTTGTACTGCCAATGCGCATTGTCCGAGTCTCATCGATTAATCGTAGCTCATCAAGGAGGGAAGAGAGTGCCTGGGATATTTCTGGTTTTAACGAGGCCAGGGATTTGTTCCGCAGCTCAGATCCATATTTTTGCTTCACCAACAAGGGTAGTCCTGGGTGTATTAGTTGAAGCCACAGAACGACGATGGTGTTTTCCAGGGTGGGGGTTAAATCTTCGTCAGCTTCCAACGCCTCTCCATGATGGGTGATGCCCCCACCAGCAGTTAGTAAGTTATCTTCAAAGAATGCCATGAGGCATTGGTATAAGTCTTCTGGTCGCTCGTCGGGTTGCCGGATAATAGTGGCTAGGTCGAGGAAGTGAGCCCCGGTGGACTGGAATCCATAGTGCTGGCGGATTTTCTGCCAAATATCATTAAGAGAGACTGAATTCTTAACGATGGAACTGCGTGAAACGACAGGGCAAAAATTGGCAATTTGACCAAGCAATAAATCTAAACGAGCGTTCTTTTGAACGGCGGTTAACCGTCTAGGTTCAGGAATAGGGTCTGCATCATCGACCAAGCCTCGGTGGGGATGAGTAGAGGTCTTCTTTTGCCATGTGGCTTCAAGAAAGGGTATAAAATTGCTGTCGAGGGATAGGATATATATTAAGTTCTGTCTCCAGCTTTCGTAAGAAGTTATGGTTTCGTTCTTGGATAACTGCCACTGTTTAGGCGCTCGAGCCGCCATTTTGGCGAAAGATAAAATACGAGATATAAACGGTTTATGGTTGCTCACCTGCGGAAATTTGGCCTTCTCACTTTACGAGGGGTAAATGTCCCAGTCTTCGTGACGTGAATACGTTGTGAACCGCTGCCACCACGCCAATAATAAGGAATAAACTGAGTTTACTGATGAGAAGTCAATACAACACAAGAGAGCTTTTGTAATGATATAATAACAATGTGGTGCGCTAGATGATAATGGAATGCTAAGATGCTAAACCGCTAAGAAAGGGAATGGCGTTACTATATCGACGCACGGGCAATAGGACAGGTGTAGTGTTGTTAAATAGAAAGTTAGAAATGGTATTGTACTTACTCATGTATTATAATTATGTTTAAAAGATCAGAATATTCATAACTTCTTATTTTGTTTCATAAATAGTTCTTTAATTAATATTCGAAACAAATTCCATATCTGCTTCGTCTGCCATCGCCATGTTTACTCGTCCCAATCTACATGCTGCACGGCATCGCCGCCCCTCCTGGCAAAATAATAAGCAAGCGAGAAAAATTAAGGAGAAAATAAGAGGGTAGGAACATCGTTGTCATAAGCTGGATGCAGTGCCATATATGGCACAAACGTATCCATAACTTCAATATATGGCACAAACGTATCCTCGACGCGTTTTATAACGTTTTATTTGACGTAGGGATGACGTAATGCTGCTTCCCGCCTATGACGATTTGAATTAGTCATGTGATACAAGATTGCGAAAGCCGATTCGCCCAGAACGATGACACGCCCACGAAACGCCCACAATGTTCCTACCCTCTTATTTCTCCTTAATTTTATATAATTTGTTTCGAATATTAAAGAACTATTTATGAAGCAAAATAAGAAGTTATGAATATTCTGATTTTTTAAACATAATTATAATACATGAGTAAGTACAATACCATTTCTAACTTTCTATTTAACAACACTACACCTGTCCTATTGCCCGTGCTCCACCCTAGGGATTTTGATTAGCCATAGTTAACTATAGATTAGCATTTGGGCCCAAGTTAGGGCAATTTGAACCAAAATGACTTTTATTAATATAGTATTTATTGCAATTTATTGCAAAATGGTAGGATATTTGACCAATATTTATTGCTCAACAGTGGGGCATTTGATTGAACATTTGATAAAAGAATCAAATGCCCCACATATGTCCGACCCCCCTCTCTGGGGCTTAACATTGATAGGTGCATGAGAACCACCATTTCTCAAACTTCATCTGAATTAGTTGTGTAACAGCATTTATACAAAATACTGTTAAAAAAGGCCAATGGGACTTCACTGCTATAAATGGCATTCTATCCAATGGCATTATAGGACCAACATCTCCATGGCGTTGTTCTCCAAAGCATCGAGCAGCGTTATAAGTCAGATTGTCTTTTTTACCAGCATGAAGTACAGACATAGCCTTGGCAACAAGTGGGATGAGGGACAAATCTAGCATCTAAACCAGGATTAAGTTTTACCAGCCATTTTTGAAACAGTTGGATGAGTAGTCGATCTTGTTGTCGCTGGGTTAATTTTGAAAATTCAGAAGTCATGTCAAGTCATCATATCAGTAACATCACCAGAGAGGTGAACAAGTTTAGAACTCCAAATTTAATGATGATGCTTTAATAATTCTTGCAGACGAAATCATTGACAAAAGCCAAAATCACGAATCTCAAATCTAAAACATCAGCCAAAAACAATGAATTTCACCAATAAAATATTGTTACAGATTTCTGTAATTATTTACATACTTTAACCAGTATATATAAATCCATAATATATCGAAACTTCTATAGTATATCAAATTTCTTTAGAAGAAAGCTAGTGATAGCAGTTCATTATCGATCTGAGTGACAAGGCAGCATATTTTACAAAGGGCTATATTCAACGGTGAATATCTCGAAAACGGTTGAGGTTGAGGTTAAAGATTATACTTTTATTGAACTAATCGTGAAAAAAAAGCGAAATCGAACCATGGAGATTGAGATTTTTGTCTTTAAAGATTGTTGACAGAAACGTCATTAAATTACATCGCGACGGCATAGCGCCTAAGTGAGAGGTCAAAATAAACTGGAAAATGACGCTTACCTTTTAAGATACCATACCCATGGGTAGATTGACTGTTGTAAAAGTAGTATCGCGTGAAATTTGCCAAAAAAATTGCATAAAAATATGAAAAAAAAAGATATTTATGAGCCCTATGTAAATTTTTGTTGCCAAAAGCTTCGTGCAAGCATGAGGAAAATGGCGCAATCTGATTGGTCGAGATGTTCGCCTAATTGGCTGTCCAACTTCCTCTGGTAATTATTCAATTATTTTCAATGATGTATTGTATTGGTAGCCGTTGCCGTCGTGTTGCCGTCCTAAAATCGTAAGGTCTCTAATTTTATGCATAACGCTTCAAAGTCTGGTTCTTCTAGGTCTTCTAACTGTAATTTTGAGAGTGTTTTTTATAAACATACATACGCCACCATGTATCGTTTCAATTCTGTCTCTGCGAAGTATGTTATACCCTTGCAGTGCGACGGCATTATCATGGATGTGACTTTGAAGCCACGTTTCTACAATACAAAGAAAGTCCACATTTGCATTTTTTATAATACCATCATGTAGTTCGTCAATTTTGGGCGTCAAGGACATAACATTAGATAGGAAAAAAGATGGGACGGATACCCTCTGCGAATATCTTACTAGTTCAGTAGAGCCACTAGGTTTCGATGCAACAACTCTTATACAGTTCAAAAGATTACGATGTCGATCTTGTAAAGATTGAATTCGACAGTGTTCTTCTACATTCGCTCGGCTGAACAGCATGGATTGGATATTTCTGACAATTTTCTCTTAATTTTACCAGGCGTCCCGCCCTTTTTCCTCGATATCGCGGCCACAAAGTCTTCCCAAAGCTAGCACCAAAACGTGCTCATCGAAAGTTATTCATTACATAAACTTCAAAAGACTAAAAATTTAAAAAATACAGACGTCTAAAAGTGCAGCCATTCACGGCGCATAGATGATATGAGCATGTTTTGAAACAAACAGGCTCCTTGATAAATGTGTACATTCCATGATATTTAGATACTTTCTATTGACATTTGTGGATAATGTTATACGATTTGGCAGCGCAATGCGCATGCTTCCAGCTCTGCTTACAGTATTTTTCTAAACTGCGAACTGCGAAACGGTCTTGTGCGATGAAAAATACTAAAATGATGAATGTCAAGACAAAGCTTCCAGACTCAACTGAGGTAAGGGATACTAAACATTCTAATTTTGGTAGTACATGCTGCATTTTGGCAACAAGAAATTCTTTAAAGTCAGAAAACTAAAGTCATAAATATAAATAAAAATATTCACTCCTACTGTATGTCGTAATGTCCTCGGTAATGTCGATCTTATATTCTTGACTAGCAAAATATATTCTTGTGTGAAAGGTCCCTACAATGTTCTGAAGAGTTTAGGCTATATAGTGTTGAGGCTATCGGGTTATTAAATATATTTCAATGTTTTGAAGAGTTTAGGAAATGTAGTATTGAAGCTGTCGTGTTTTTAATTTACTATACACGTTTAGTACGCAACTACCGGAAACGGCAGCCATGTGGTAGTATTAAGACAAAGAATCTCATTATTTTTTACTGAATTTCGCACATTCTTTTAATTCTCAAGGGATTGATTGCAAGACAAGAATATAATCTATGATATATAGTCATGTTAACAAATAACAGAAACGTCAGCTTCTTGAACT